AAAACCACTCCTGTAGGAGGTCGTACGTCAGACACATAAACTTAGAGAAGTGTAGACCATGTCAATATTTTACCAAACAAATTGCCACTTTAGTATAAAGAAATAACAATGATACATCCTCAAAAGAAAAGCATTAGCAGAATTCCCAGAAACCACTCCACGGAACACTTATTGAGTTCCAGATTTAACGACTAGAAATCACAACTCCCTTCAATCGACTAAAGACCAAAAAAGTCCAAGTCTGGCTAAGCACGAGACCACATTCCCCCCCTTTCCCAAGTACTCCCAACCAGAAGCCGAGAATGAGCTAGATCCTGCCGTTTCACAAGACCTGCTTCAAGCCGATCTAAAGAAGCCGCCTTCGAAACCTAACAAGACATGATCTTGGACAAATCCCGGGAAATCAAAGAGAGGGCAGAAAAATACCAGTATCATTCGACGCCAAACGGAGCAGAGAGAGCAGACACATCAGTAGCCCCGACATCTCGATCCCTCAGACGGATTCCTGCGTTCTCCGGAGCCCGGCATCCCCCATTCCCCGAGTCCGAAACGGCTCCTCTCCGTCGCCGCCGCTGGAGGAGGGTGCCGGCGGGGCCGGCTCATAAAACCCTAAGCCCGCGGCGGGATCCGTAGCAGATCCACGGGCTCGTCGAGCGAGAGAAAGCAGAAGCAAGGGAGACGAGATCTCGAGGTGGAGGAGCAGCAGCAACAGCAGCAGAAAGCGAAATAAAGAGAGGGGGCGGGCATTAACGACGACTACCACCAAACTTTGGGGGTATGGAGTGAAGCGAACAAGGGCAAAAAGATAAGAAACAATTCCAGCTTGACGCAGTAATTGCTTCCCCGCCTCTCTCTCTCTCTCTCTCTCTCTCTCTCTCTCTTACTCATATCGTTTATATAAGGATTTACGTATAGATTACCCATTTGATTTATTTAAGGATTTAATTCTATTATTGAACCCAATTCTACTTATCGTCCTTCGCTTCCAATCGACACTTGCTTAATTTGAGTTCACACATAATTTCCATTAAATGAGGTCTCATGTGATCTTGTCCCGTGTTTGCTGCCTCGCAAGGGATCTCCTACCCCGGCCGAGGTAGGATACAGGATTACCCCTCTAATAGAATAGCAGTACATTATGTGGCCCAAAATAGTGTCTTTTTCCCCTTTTTGTTGAAACATTTGCACGCTTAATAAGATTTTTGTTTGAATAAAAATGAACATTGTATTATTAATGCATTAATAATACAATGAATAAATATGTTAAATGGCTAATAACTTATATATTCAGAATTATAAAAGCAGGAGGCAATGATTTTGTTATATGTGATTTTTATGCATCCCTCTAAATTTAACAAGATGGATAAAATTATATATATATATATATATATATATATATATATATAGAGAGAGAGAGAGAGAGAGAGAGAGAGAGAGGTGATTATGTATTTATCTCTATAAATTTAAGTTTAATAAGTTAGACTTCTACAGACTTTCAGAATTAAAGGTTCACACATTCCTACAAATTTAATAATAAAAAAATAAGATCAAGCAAAAATATCTTTAAAGCAAATTTTTATAATAAAAATAAAAAAAATATTTTATTTTTAAAAAAATATTATGTAATAGCATCATAAACAGACATATTTGTGAATGACACTAAGATCATAATTTCTTAGTGTCATATTTAATAGTCGAAGTTATCAACTTACAATACTATAAATCATCGAAGATGACAATACTATGAATCATAATAAAATCATCTTATAACGACAATGATAATACTACGAATCGATAGTTTTATCAAGTTAATCACATATTAATTTTTTTTATTTTTAGTGTTATTTATTATTCAACCCATGTCTTGTTGTCATTTATATCTCAAATCCATCACATTTTTTATCATCATCATCATTAAAGTAGTACATTCAATTTATCTCATTTATTAGTCCACTGATTCTCCCTTAGTATAAAATACATATGTCTACCGAATATATTTCTTTTCCAACCAAATTATCTTTACTTTTTTCCTTTGGTAAACAATAATAAAATGGTGCTGCCAATACATCATAATAGATTAAAAATGAAAAGAAAAAGTACGTGCCTCACTCCCACATGTATGCATACATGATGAAACGGATTGCAGCTCATTGGGATGCGACGGACGACGGAGTCAACGCCCAATCGCAAGGCCGCATTTAAGTGAGACGGTGCTCAAAGTGGGGGAAATTGTAGCAGGTCATGTCATGTGCTTCCCAATGGAGATGGCGAGAGAGAGAGAGAGAAAGGGTGGCGTAGCGTTAGCTTGAAGGCAGGGAAAAGACGAGACTCCGCGGTCGGCAGGGCACGCCACTGTTCAGTGTTGGAGTGACGAGCACTCACTGCGTCATACGCATCGGTCCTCAGCTGCGGTACGCTTACTCCGCTTGAGCTGCGAAGCATTCATTCGGTGCATGTGATGTAAACTTTGTTGTCTCTCTCTCCCGAGTAGGGCTTAGGATCGATTTGCTTGTGAGCATAAGCCCTAATTGGGAGAGCGAGAGAGAGAGAGATATAATAGTACAAATTCATCGTATTGGAATGTGATAAGCAATTCCATTGATTAAACTCAAACCTGATTGGTATAAACTTATCATAATTTGGTTGATGATTGTTAATTGAACTGTTGGATTGATCTCTAATTGACATTAATATATTGTTTGCTTGAAAGTATTTTAAGGATATTTATATTTTTTATATCTTGACTCAAAATATTTCACTTATATCACAATTCATATTAATCTAGTATTTTGATGATGAAACCAATTGATAATTATTTATGATTTAATCTGTGCTTTGAGTGACGCGGGATGCTTTGATCAGGTTGAGACAATTAAAGCAGGAAGAATCATGTTGGGCCGAGAGAAAACATGTCAGAAGATTGGACGTATAGCCAGAGGATCGGTCGACGTATCGACAGAAGGCTTCAGGCCATGGTTTTGGGCATCGGGCCAAGAAAGTTGATATTGTGCCAAGGATATCGGAGTTGCGAAGGTCAACTGGTCGATTGGACAATAAGCCGCAAAAGAGGACGATGCACCGAAGAATCGAACGAAGCGTCGATGGACCAATGACATGTCGGACAATATGATTTATGCTTAGTAATAATTGTCTATATCAAAGTATGTTTTTACATATGCAGGATTAACTACGATAGCAAAACATAAAGCAAAATGAAGTTCCGGAGTCAATGACGCGATTTAATTGGGAGTTCAAAAGTTCATCAGAAGTTTGGACTTTCGTCGGAAGTTCTGTCGGAATTGATCGAGAAGTCCCGGAGCTTGCTAGAGAAGCTCGTCAGAACTTGCCAAGAAGATCATCGTGAAGTCCAGGAGCTTGCCGGGAGTCCACTGGAATATTATCGGGAGACCATCAGAAGTTCACCGAAAGATCGTCGAAAGCTCGCTGGAAGAAACCAAGACGTACGAACTTATTTAGCTTAGTAGATGTCTTAAGTTTCGTAGTTAGCATATAATTAAGATTGGAATTGGGCCAACCCAATTATGGGCCAATTGGGCCCATGTAAGGACTGTGTTGGGCCCAATGAAAGGCCCAAACAGTGATCCAAGAAGTGACACCATCGTTGCACAGTCTCAAAGACTGTGTCAGGCGATAGTATCGCTAGTCTAGGTGGTGGTACCACTCCTGGCAGGGTGCCAGGTGGTGGTACCACTCCTGGCAGGGTGCCAGGCGGTGGTACCGCCTAGTGTAGTGTCAGTGTCAGACTGACACTAGCGGTGGTACCGCCCGTACTCAGGAAACCCGGGATGAGATATTTTTAGGCTCTAAGTTTGAATCAACTTGAGGCCTATAAATACCCCTCTCATCCCTAGTTAAAAATCACAAGCACATAGAATTTAAAAAGGGAAAAACGCTATTGTAATCTCTTTGTGAGAATCCTCCTCTTATAGTCTAAGTGTTAGAATAGTTTGAGAGATGTGAGTGCTTGTAAAGGTTGTCTCCTAAATCCGGTAAAAGGAGAAAAGGGGTGTAAGAAGGAGATTGATATTCGTCTATTAAAGGAAGATCGATAGTGGATGCCGGTGGCCTTAACGGAAGAGGAATCGATGGAGTGGATGTAGGTCATGACGACCGAACTACTATAAAATCGGCGTCTTATTCTCTGGTTTGCATTTCTATATTTGAGCAATTTATTTTACTGCAAACCTCCTAACTTGCTTTATATCCACTATGCTCTTCCGTACGTTTTTAAGCCATCTTTACGAAAACGTTTTCAAGTTAACCTCTCTCCAAAATGAGTTTCGTCAAAATCGATTTTTATCGTAAAAAGATTTTTTTACTGCTGCACTAATTTCATCCCCTAGTGCCGACTCGTTCCTAACAATTAGATATAGTGATATGGAGGATATTAGCTATCTTAACTCAAAAGGATAATTGTGAGCTATTATAACAACACAAAGGAATTTATTAAATTAAAAATAAGGAGAAGAAAATAATATGAGATTTTCTACGAGGAACACGTGCTTTTAAGCGCTTGCAAATTAAGTCTTTAAAGTGCTTTTCAATTTCGAGGTTTTCATGAGGGTTAATAAAGTTTAAAATAATTAAATTTGATATTTCTTAAAAAATATCAAAATTTTATTTTCCTTACTAAAATTTTATTTTTAAAAATATATTTTGCTCGAAAAAATATAATTTATTAAAAAATAACTCTTATGCATTGGTATATGCATCATCCTCTTCCTTATTTCTCTTTACCTCAATTCATTATTTTCTTTTCATCCAAAACAGTTACCCATAGAGTATAAGTTGATGTATTTTTGTTTAAATTCATAAAAAAATAGAAATGCTCTGAATATAATTAAAATAAGAGAAAATATAATATATGTTTATTTGTATTTTTAAATAAAGAAATAAAAATGCATGTTTTTGCAAATAATAAATTATATTCAACGGCCCGGTCTTTTTGAACAATCCGGTCCGGTCTTTTGTCGGTCTCAATTTTCAATCCGAGAGGGCAAAAGTCGAAGCTTCTTTTAGCGGAGCTACGCCGCCTGCCTCACCGGTTGTTCCCCCATGAGCGGTAGCGTGGAGGTGCAGCGGCGATTCGATCACGCCGGCATGGGAGAGGAAGCGACGAGGAGGCGGAGGCGCGGAGGGGAGGAGGATGACGAAGAGGAGGAGGACGAGGATGAGAGGGGGATGGAGGCGTGGGAGCGGGCGTACGCTGACGAGCGATCGTGGGAGGATCTGCAGGAGGACGAGTCTGGTCTCCTACGCCCCATCGACACCAAGACCCTCGTCCACGCCCAGTACCGCCGTCGCCTCCTACAGAAGTCTGCCGCCTCCGCCGCGTCCAGGATCCAGAAGGGCCTCATCCGATACCTCTACCTTGTCGTCGACCTCTCTCGGGTGCGTCTCCTCCTCCTCCTCCTGCTCTTCCACCAACACTCTTGGTCGAGTCTCTGCAAATAATTGCGTGCCTATGTTTCTTTGGACTGGATTGGGAGCGGTGTCATTCCTTTTGGGAACTTTGCTGCTACAAAAGAATGTGGCGCTTTTGGACTGGATTGGGATCGGCTTGGAGATTCCTGCTAGAACGACACTGGACTTCTGAAGTCATTGGTTGGTCGCACCAATTGTGACCTATTCAGACATTGGAAAGGAGTTCCTAGGTTCTATATTTACATGTACTTTTTAGCCAACTTGAATTGTTTATGTTGTAGAAATAAGGAGTTTTTTGTTGAGGGATCAATTGATTATGGTCCACATCTCAATTAGGAAAGATCTGGAAGTGATAAAATTTATACAAAGGATGCATTCTTGGGCAAATTAATTGTTCTAACAATCAGAGAAGTCAATACAGGAACCTGCTTGAGTGATCTGTGTGATCTCTGCTGACACATTCTTGAAAAGTGGGCTTCTCTTTGTTTGTCAAGACTATTCTTCTAATGGGCTTTGGTCGACAGGAATGAAGATTTCCTAATGATGTTCAGAGTCATTTAGATACTCGTGATTCCGTGATTCCATAACTTCTTTTGTGGTTTGACAACTATTGTAACAATATTTTAATGTTAATAAGATTTTTCTGGACCTCAATAATTGCCATCCAGTACAGTACTTTTCATGTTATAAATCTTTGTATTGATAATCAAGAAATTGCCAACCAGTACAGTACTTTTCATGTTATAAATCTTTGTATTGACAATCAAGAAAGTTTGCATTTCAAATGGAGGTGCTTCAGAATATTTGATGATTCAAATCTTTCTTGTAACCGCTTCTCTTGAATTTCCTTCATATTATTATTACGCTTGAACAAAATAAGTTGGCTCTATCATACTTCCAACTGTGTGTTGTGTTGGTGAATGTTGCATATTGTGTCTATGACCAAGATGAATGAGAGTGCTGACTGCAATTATCTATGAGTGATCACAACTCCTGTAAAGGACACACCACATTTTATCTGCATTAGGATAAATGCTCATGTTTTTCATACAGATGTACTATGTTGTTCTTCAGGTTCTGCACCAGTAAGATTTGAATTTAAGGGAGAAAGACAAGTAACAGCTTGTGTGGCAATTCACAGAATTTAGGAAGATCTCCGTATCAAATTGCAACCAAATATGTTCTTTGAACTTGTTTGGCCTTTCTTTGGGTCTGGTCTACAAAGTCAAATAGACCAGCATTTTTTTTCCTATATATCATGCCTCCATGTAGTTGTTCTGTTTTAATAACATAAACTTTGGATTCTGCAACATTGAATTCACACAATAAGAGCCTTTTCTATGCAGCTGAAGCGTTAGGTCTGTGTTAATTACTAACAACTACTCTGAACAATGCAGGCAGCTTCAGAGACAGATTATCGCCCTAGTCGAATGGTTGCAGTTGCCAAATGTGCAGAGGCTTTTATTAGGGAGTTCTTCGATCAGAATCCATTATCTCATATTGGTCTTGTGACCATAAAAGATGGTGTCGCTCATCGACTCACAGACATAGGAGGCAGCCCGGAATCGCAGATTAAAGCTCTAATGGGCAAACTTGAATGCTCAGGCGATGCTTCTTTGCAAAATGCATTAGAGCTTATCCATGGATATCTGAGCCAAATCCCATCTTATGGTCACCGTGAAGTCTTAATCTTGTACTCTGCTCGCAATACATGTGATCCAGGGGATATAATGGAAACGATAAAAAATTGCAAGAACGCTAAAATTAGATGTTCTGTAATTGGCCTATCAGCAGAAATTTTCATATGTAAACATCTGTGCGAAGAAACTGGGGGTTCCTATACCGTGGCATTGGATGAGGTAAGAAATATTCACTTGTCTTTACCTCAGTATGTGGGCCTTTTTTGTGATGATGACATGTTGCAATTTATCCTGACAGTCCCATTTTAAGGAGTTGCTATTGGAACATGCACCACCGCCTCCAGCAATAGCAGAATATGCAGCTGCTAATTTGATCAAGATGGGTTTTCCTCAAAGAGGAGCAGAGGGTGTTATTGCTATATGTTCTTGTCACAAAGACGTAAAGATTGGTGGGGGTTACACCTGCCCAAGATGTAAAGCACGTGTCTGTGAACTACCAGCTGAATGTCGAATTTGTGGCTTGACCTTGGTCTCTTCTCCTCATCTAGCGAGATCTTATCATCATCTTTTCCCAGTGACACCATTTAATGAGGTGTCATCTGTTGTTCCATTTAAACTTAGTCAGAAGTTAGCACAAACTTGTTATGGATGCCAACAGAGCCTTCTCAGCCATGGTAAGTGCATCACCTATTAAGCCTTATCCTTGTCTTGTAAACAAATTAAGAAAATTTATGATAGGATAGTGTGCATAGTATAAATGGTAAAGTGGCAGTCTTCTATTTCCCTTTTGCAAGATTAACTTCACTTTAAAGAAGCATAGGATTCTGATAGCAGCTAACATACTTAGACTGCATGGTATAAATTTTTTGTATTTATTAATGAAAATAATTTATTTAGAAGGGTGTCTATCATATTTTCTAAGAATATTCACAGAAGATTGGAAGTTTTATAAGGGTATTTATGGTACTGTGAAATTACAGCTTAAAATAAATATTCATCTTGTCGTGTTAGTTCATTTTTATGTTATGATTGCAGAATATTTTGGTTGTGTTGTTTTGTGTGTCGAACCAAATGGATCATGCAGTCACGAGGTTTTCACCAATGCAGGGTCCAGGAAGAATCGACATAAGCAGCAGCCTTACCTATATATAGGGAGGCTAACATGCGAAATTCTAAAAATTAGAATTATTCCAGACTGTAGTGTCATTATTCTTACAGAACATCAAAAATCGGAAGTGTGAATTATTTGGATTTCTCTTGGTGTCTTTTAAGTCCTCTGAATGACCTTATAAAATAAATAAAAAAGAGAACCAGTTGAGTCCTCATTTTCATAGACCTCCACAATATAGAATGAGTCTCACAATGTTGATTCCTTTTCAGTCATGCATGTTGTTACCATCATTATCATGAGCTTCTTAGTAAACCAGTCTCTAAATGTTTAATACTCACTTGGACCGCTTACTCTATGTATGGTTCATGGAAACATTAACTTGATATGCCTGTAGCGTGTAAGTTCATACATGCTCAAGTTAAGATGATAATGTTATGCGTCAGATCTCTAATTTTGTCTTTTTTGGTCTAGTATCTTTTGAACTTACTATTATTTTTCAAGTGCTTTGGATTGCCAGTATTGCTTGAATGAGTCAAGGTATATCGAAACTCTAGTTTGCCAAGAAATAGTAAGAAGCTTTTACGGCACACATGCTTTATCTAACTTTGAAAAACGATGTTAGTGAATTTGTGATGAACTTGTTGCCTGAAGTACTCTAGCATCTAGTAGGTTGTGTGGGTTTTAAGTTGACCACCAAGATTGCCTAAGACTATTTGACATGTAATCATGCTATGGTGTGTTAGGATGTGTGCCATACTCCATGAAATGATGTTCCTTGATGGTTTTTACTTGATTAAGCTTCATCCATTGACATTCTTTCATTTGTGAAAATTTCTATATATGCTTAATGACATTATCTTTGCAGGAAGCAAACCCGCTCCCCATGTGTCCTGTCCAAAATGCAACCAACGTTTCTGCCTTGACTGTGATATTTATATCCATGAGAGTTTGCACAACTGTCCAGGTTGTGAGAGTCATCGCAGCTCAACTACGTGACTGTTACAGATTGCATCTCCAGAGTGCATCGAAGGTGCGTATTTTGTGTAATTTCTGCCGGGTTTAACCACATAAATTGACAGTTTGCAATTCTTGGCACACAGGTTGGCCTGCCAATCTGGGCACAGTGCTTTATGCTTGAATGGAGCCATACCTAAATGTGACTTTGTGTTTAGTGCTCCTACATGCTTACAACAGCTTGCAAAGACTTGCTCACATGAGTAGAGGGGCCTCATGAATTCTAGTTTGCTTTAAGGTCTTATCTTGAATCTCCAATTGGCTTTTATGTAATGCTCATCCTTGCAACTTACGAGGTTCACTGATATGCAAGAAGGAACTAGAGACATCTGGCTCGAAAGATATGTGAGATTAAACCAGATAAGGTGGTGACATGTTCTTAGATTAAACCAGTCTACAAGGGCCCATGTCTATTCCAAGTTTTGGTCTGTGTTATATTAGAAACATGAACCCATAAGTTCAAGAGTTGTTACTTTCTTGTTATGTAGAAAGGATTGTACTCAAAGACATTAATAATCATAAGTAGTTTTCTTAAATAACTCGTGTCTTTATTTTTCGGCTGTGCGAGGCCTTTAAATATCAAATCAATGTATGATATGATTTAAACGACTCCCTGTTCATCCTTTCTATCAACTTATGAGGTTCATTTTGTCATCAGTTTTAAATGCTACGTTTCATTGGTTAGTATCAAATGATCTCATGGTATTACATGTTTCGCTTATATTTCAGATGGTGGATTAGATGGACAGGTCTAACAGGAACATGATTTGCTTTCAGATGTTTTAGGGTTTCAGGAAAACTCAACATGTTTCAATATATACATCCAAGATGAGAAGATTAGTGATGGGTATCAGAGGATTCTACCTTTCATGAGATTCTCAGCTCGAAGATGACCAGTATCCAAACAGCTGAGTGGAGCTTCACATCCCCACTTGAAAACATACGACCACCATGAAGTCTTCTTTTCTAAAAGGAAAAGGCTGTGCTCGCTTCGGTGGAAAGCAAAATTCTCCTCTCCGCAAGGGAAGAGTGCAATTCATGATCCCTCCTTCTTAAAGCATATGTGATCAACACACTTGTCTGCCATTCTGGGGAGGAAAGGGAGCTCATGATTTCAGGTGTAGTACCATTCGATCAAATGTCGGGCAAGTCAACATAAAAGTTTAAGGGAGCTTAACCAAGGAAGTCATGTCATCCCCTCCCTGCATGCAGCGTCACAAGGATGGCTGTGGATGTGCATGGCTAGTGGGCCTGATTAAGATGTGACTACTGAGAATGGTGGTAGAATCAGATGCTACCCACTTGTTGCTAAATTAATCTCAGTGGCAGTGTTGTGAAGTCTACTCTCCACTATAAGAATAAAAATCATGTGAGAACCTCATGAAAATGGAGTGACTTTAGGTATTCAAGTGTGTCAAAAGTACCTTCTTCTGCTGGTACTAAATTAGGAAAATGATTTTATTTTAATCCTAAATATAATATTCCAGAGAAATCAACCTATATATATATTTACTCTTGTTTAGTGGCACACAAACTTAACTTATAATTCATCTATTTATTCTCATCAGAAGATAGTGATGTATTTTTGTGCAGTCTCGTTTTTAAATTATATATATATATATATATATATATATATATATATATATATATCTTATCTTATAGGATTTTTTTTTCTGAAAAAAGTTTATTTTTTAGATTATTTTATTATACTTTTATTTTTAATTTTTTATTTAGTGTATATATATATTTGATATCCTAAATATCTCTCGTCATGTGACCACCTTAATCCCATCGTGGAGTCATATCATTTTCGTTTGTTATGCATCTCATCACTTTTTATCATGTCATGATCATCCCCTGTCTCACTATTTTAATCATGGTTATCTTTATCTTATCGTTTTTATCCAATCGCTTTAATATATTGTGACAGCCACATTTGCTTCTACAAGGCCTTGCTTTAAGCCTTACCCTTTTGACCTTATCATGTTCATGCATATTGTTTTCATCTTATTATTATGATTGCTTTTGCTTAGGGATATTTAAAAAATTAAAAGAAAATAGAGACATCAAATGATAACGATAAAGAAGCTTTGTATTATTAATTTTATCTCTTTTTTTTTCCTTCTTCATAATTTTATTGTCGATCGTTATCTCATGCTCCCTATTGATGTAGTCACCGCTTACTATCTAACCTCGCTTGTTGTCCCCTCGTTGTGATAATCACTATCTAACTTCACAATAATTTAAGAAAAAAAATATTTTCTTAAAAAATAAACAAAAGAGTAAAAAGAAAAAAAAAAACCCGGCAATCTTTCTCATCGTGAATTAGCACCCTATTTAAGAAAAAAAAGGAAATATTTTTATGGAATAAATAGAAGTTATTTCCAATTGTGACAGATTCCATGCATTATTTCTTAAATAAATAGAGTTATCTCACATGCTACTGTTTTCTTAAAAGACACTGCTAATTTCTTAAATAAAATAAAATTATTGTTTTCTCAAATTTCGAAAAAAATAAGAAATTTATTTTTTGAGGGAAGTGAATATTGAAAATATTAGGGTGATTTTTCTAAAAAAAAAAAAATCATATTTTAGATATTTTAATCGGTATATCTAATTTTAATTTTTTTTTCAAATAGTAGGACGATTTTTCTTAAAAAAATCTCATATTTTAGATTTTTTCAATCAGTATCTCTAATTTTATTTTATTTTTCAAATAATACTCCTAATTTAAAAAATATATAAACTATCTCTCAAAATTTTTCATGCATCTATTATAATATTTTTAGCATCTTATAGTATTTTGATCATCATAACAAAATACTATAAATGTTACTTGAAAACACCCTCAAGTATCTAAATAGGCTCCTAATCTCTACCAAACTAAATACAAATATAAAAAATATAATATTTTAATAATTTATGAGTGATTTATAGTATTTTTAGTATTATAATAAAATTATTATAAATATTATTGAAAAATACTGTAAAGATCAAATGAGCCAAATGTTATTGAGTTTTTCCTCTCATTTCTAAAATTTTCTAACTACTCCCTTTTTTTTTTCCCAATACCTGAAATAATTTACATTATGTTATAATATTTTTTTAATAATATTTAAAATTATTATAATATAGTACAAAAAATACTATGTACAAATTTTGTAAACACAATGTTCTTAACATATTAATTTTAATAATATAAAATCTATAATATAATTAAAATATCATATTTATAATATTTTAACATAATATTTAATTTTTAATATAATATTTTTGTATTATTGAAAATATTATAATGTAGTATACAAAACATAATTATATAAAAAAGAATGTAGTATACAAAACATAATTGGGATATTTCAGACATTAAATAAAAATAATTCTGAAAAATTAGGAAGTTTTATAAAAACAAATTTCGAAGAATTCGCCTAATAAAAAATTGAAATAAAAGTGGTAAATCATTTTTCTCATGTCAGAACAATGTGCGGGAAACGCGTTCGTCCGCGGATGGCATTTCTATGGATCGAACTAAAAAGCAGGGATATATCAGGAATTCCATAAGATCACGGGTTCCGCTGTTGAGATCGACCATTTCCTCACCTCCGCATCTCCCCAAAAGAATCTTCCGAAGGTCAAACCCCAAACGCTACCCTCTCTCGCTTCTATAAGTCTTACTGCAGTGCCGACTTCCTCCTCTGGCGGAGGAACCCATTCCCTCCTCGGTCTATTCGCCGTTCTTCTTCTGCATGCCAAAGCCGCTGCTTTTAATTTTCTCCGAAGCAATAGCGATATTGAAGAAGAGATTTTGGAACCCTAGTTTCATGATCCGATCTTTTTGCCCTAAGAAACGCGATTGAGTCAAAAGGTGTCGTCTTGATCTGGTTTTTGACGAGATTTTTGAAGACATCCTTGGCGAGAAGAGCAGGAGAGGCGATGGGGAGCTTGTGGAGGAAGGCGAAGAGCGCGCTCGGGTTCAATCTTACCGTCGACGGCCCCACGTCTTCGGCGGAGGACGACGATGATGGCGACTGCGACGGTGGGTCTCGGACGGGCGAGGCCGCAGCAGGCGGCGGGAGGGCCTCGGGCGCCGCCTTCTCGGAGGCCTCTTCTCCGGGTGGGTCGGTGCGGATGCTGAAGACGCCGATGCCGACGCCGACGCCGTCCTCCAGCAGCCGTTGGCTTTTCAGATCGGGAAGCAGATCCTCAAAGGTTCTCATTTTTGTGATTTCTTTTTTCGTTCTCTCGATACCGCATCTGGTAGTTGATCGATTTGGAAATGCACTTTATGCTTGTGAGGTTTCTTTCGATATCGCGATTTTTCTTCCTCTGTGTTCAGAATGATTAAAAATCGTTTTTTCCCCCTTTCTTTGATCATGCATCACTACCGAGATTCGGGGGTAAATAAGGAGCACGACATAATCACTTATTGCATTTTCGACTTAATTCTGAAATATTGTAAAGCAAACCGATTGAGAAAAGGGATCATTGAATATTGCTTTTGTCTCACAACATATTATGTGGCTTTGATGGCTTCTTGATGCCTTCTTACTTTTAACTTACGGTCTTCTTACTCTGAGCTTTCGGTGGATAGCAAAAAGTTCTTTCATACAAATATACGAGTAAATTCTAGCATTCAGTTGAGATTGATCTGTACTTCGTTTTTTAAATCTTTTTCGTGTCCAAGATTCCAATTTTTTTTAGTTTGCTTTCAGTGATGAAATAGGGATATCTCATTAGCAGATAATATAACAGTGGAGTTTTGTGTTTCACATAGAATTATAGAGATCTACAACTCTCTCCTTTTGCATTCCTCTAATGTAAGGTCAGTGCGACCAACTTTTTGGCTGCTAATATGGTTTCTGCTACTTAGTCATCTTGGGTGTATGAGTTTATTAATTCTAACTTAAAATGAACGTAGTGAAGTGCCAACATATGTAGCCACCCTCACAAATAGAGACAAGTTTCATGATTTGAACTGTTGTCAGTCGGATTGCGAAGGAATAATCTTCTCATTCGATTTAAATTCAAATTCTTCCAATTTTCAATTTGTATTTATAATTTCAGATTAATCTGTTTAAAAGATTGTTATGTGTTCAAGGACAGAAACTGAGACTTGTATAGAATATGCATAGACTGGGATGAACTACAACAGCCCAGTAGGTTCTTGAATAAAAAAATATATTTTTTTCTTCCTTATGTTATTGTTTGTAACAAAGTGCAGTTGTATATATTTTCCATTGCAGGTTATAATTTAAGAAGTTCTGACACGTCTTTTAAGTGATGAGAACAGATGTATAGTTATCATAACTATGCTTCTACATTTTAAAGTTGACATCATATTGTGAATGATGTTAGACTTGGCTTATTTTGTGGTTCCGAAGAAGCTGTTGTATTGTGGCATAACAACTTGTCCATTCTTTAAATTGTTTCACATTAACTATGGTATCATTCCATGTTTTGACACAAGTTGTCATATTAAATGTCAAGAAAAACTCCATTATCAAAGCACATGGATATTATTTTTGAACCAGAGCCAGACATGCTTTTTTGTAAATCCCACTTTTATGTGATTAAACCCCTTATGTCACCTGTTTGCTTTCTAATGCTTGAGTGATTTTGAATCTTTAGCATTACACATTTTCAAGTTATTTAAAATTAGATGCAAAAAGGCTTTAGAGCGTTTATTATTTTGTTTTTCTTATGTGCAGATGGCATTGTTAGGATTGTAAAAGGGGGCGGGGGGGTGTGAATTAGTGCTTTAAAAATAAAGTTTCGATTTGAAAATTTTCAATCGAAAATACGTATCGGAAATGCGTTTAACTTAGAATGTGAGTAAGGGTAGTGAGTAACTAAATCAGTTAGTAATAGTAAGGAAAAGCATAAAGAGAAATTCAAACTAGATTTATAATAGTTCGGTCGTTCCGACTTATGTCCACTCTCGATTCATCTTCCCTTGAGGCCATCGACTTTCATTACTGATCTTATTTTCAATGGACGAAGATCAATTGTCCTTGTTACAACTCTTTCTTCTTTTCACAGGCTTACGAGAGAACTTTCATACCTTTATTTTATAAGAAAACCTCATACCTCCCTTAGAATAACCAACTCAAGGAGGAAGAGACTCAATACTTTTCAAGTGAGTTTACATACTTCAAATCACAAGGTTTTCGTGTTTTCACCAAGCAAGCATGAGTGGGGCATTTATAGATCCCAAATGGCTTCAAAATGGAGCAAAAAATTTAAATCTCTAGGTTTTCGGGATACTGACGGTACTATCGCCTGACAGAGCTTGGGAATTGGGCTCTGGCGGTACCACTGCCAGCCTAGGCGGTACTACCTTCGGGATTCTCGGAAACGCATAGTCTGTGCTTTTCAGCTCATAGGGGGTACCACCATCCAGCCCAACCCCAGGTCACTGAATTGGCCTTCCAACAGGCCCAATTCAACTCTGGTTCAGGACCAATGGACTCCTAATCAAGTTGGCATGTTTACGCCCCAAAACCAACTCAATTAGACTCTAAATGACATCGATCAAGACTCAACAATTTTAATTACAATCATGAAGCCTTCAACATGCTGTCCGACATGTCGTCTGTTCATCTAGCACTTCGTCTAAACCTTCGGCCCATCGTCTTTTCCTTTGGCGTATTGCTCGATCCATCGACATGTTGACCTCCCACAACATCCGATCTTCTTGGCGCAATACTCGATCCTTTCGGCCCAATGTCCAATCTCTGACATGATGTTTTTCGACCCAACGTCTGATTCTCCCGCTTCAATGATTTGCTTTTGGATTGTTCAAGTTCATGATCAAAATTTCTCCTGCGTCACTTATCTCAAATACTTATTAGTCTATAAACTTATCAATTAATTTTATCATCAAAATCTGGGATTCAACATGCATCAAATATGAGCTTTTGCAACCTAATTTCTGTGTACATTATATATTTACTGATTATATTCTTTTGTATTTACGACCTTGTTCTACTTATCTGACATTTTACTGTTTAACTCTCCTTTTCAGAAGACATGCACCATATGTCTTGGCGCAATGAAAGCAGGGCCTGGTCATGCACTCTTCACTGCAGAATGCTCTCACACATTTCACTTCCACTGCATTACCTCCAATGTGAAATATGGCAACTATATCTGTCCAATCTGCAGAGCTAAATGGAAGGAAATACCCTTTCGTGCCCCTGTTTCCTCTGAACATTCTCATGGAAGTGAGAGAGCAAACCTAGTCAATCAGTCACAAGAAGATGTCCACATGCTTCCTCGTGCAGACTTGACTAACCAACAACACCGTCGGTTTTCTTGCCTCCATGCTTCTGAACCACATACTTTTAATGATGATGAGCCTCTAAACGTGCAATCTGAAACAGCAGAAACTGCCCAGCAAGGATGTACTAGAACAGTAGAAATCAAATTATATCCAGAATTCTCATCCATTCCACAATCAGCCTCCCAGGAGAACTTCACTGTGCTGATACACTTAGAGGCCCCTCGTGCTTGCAGAAACCAAAATGTCGGCTCTGCAACTTCGCAAACATCTCGTGCTCCTGTAGACCTGATCACTGTAATTGATGTTAGTGGAAGCATGGCAGGCACAAAGCTAGCACTTTTGAAACGTGCCATGAGTTTTGTGATCCAGAATCTTGGCCCACTTGATCGGCTTTCAGTTATTGCTTTCTCATCAACTGCACGTCGGCTCTTCCACCTTCAACGGATGACAGACACTGGCAGGCAGCAGGCGCTGCAAGCTGTCAATTCATTAATATCTTGTGGTGGCACCAACATTGCAGAAGGCCTCTGGAAAGGTGCCAAAGTAATCAAGGAACGGACGGAGCAGAACCCAGTCTGCAGCATGATACTTCTCTCTGATGGGCAGGACACTTACACTCTGACCTCGAGTTTGAGTAGAAGTTTCCAGTCACATCCAGATTACAGATCACTTGTTCCATCCTCCATTCTTGGCGACATAGCCCAGCAGATACCAGTTCATGCTTTTGGGTTTGGTGCAGACCATGACTCCACCGTGATGCACTCAATCTCTGAGATTTCTGGCGGGACATTTTCTTTTATCGAATCTGAAGTTGAGATTCAAGATGCATTTGCTCAGTGCATCGGCGGGCTCCTGAGTGTGGTTGTGAAAGAGATGTTGGTGGTGGCGGAGTCTGGACACCCTGGTGTGCAACTTGCTGCAGTGAAATCAGGAAACTATACAAATAAGCTGGCAGATGATGCACGGTCTGCATCAATTACTGTGGGTGACCTTTATGCTGATGAAGACAGGAATTTTCTTGTATCTGTTAATGTTCCACCCAGCTCCGGCTCCCATGATATGGTGCTGCTTAAGGTTTGCTGTGCCTATAGAGATGTGATCTGCAATGAAAGTATCACGCTGGAGGATGTTGTAAGGATTCAAAGACCAGAGGTCACCACGGCTTATACGTCATCAGTTGACGTCGACAGGGAGAGGAACCGTGTTCAGGCTGCTGAGGCCATGTTGAAAGCAAGGGCTGCTGCCGAGCGTGGTGTTTTCTCCGAGGCAGTATCAATACTTGAGGATCAGAGGAGGAAACTATTTGAATCCCTGGCGGGACAATCCGGTGACCAACTTTGCTTGGCTCTGGATGCAGAGCTGAGGGAGATGCAGGAGAGGATGGCCACCCAGCAGAGGTATGAAGTGTCAGGGCGTGCTTATTTGCTGTCAGGGCTGAGCTCACATTCATGGCAGAGAGCAACAGCACGCGGAGACTCGACGGACTTGACTAGCCTCGTCCATGCTTACCAGACCCCTTCAATGGTTGAGATGCTACATCGTTCGCAGACATTTTCCCCTTCGCCCAGGACTCCCACTCCGCCTGCGCAACCTGCAAGATCATTCTCTTTTCTAGGTCCTCAGCCGAGGTAAATAACTCGAGGAATTCCATCAAATGATAAAAAGAGGATGAAACAATATCCCAGTGATATATTTTTACAATATCTGTCTTCTGATTTGAAGTGGCGGTGTATACTGGAGATTCAAAAGGGAAAAAAGAAGAAAAAGAAAAGGCTGGGGATTGGTCTCAATGATGTAAATGAATAAAATCTGGAGAAGGGGATAAAATAGTGGGTGTGTGAAAGGTGTAAAGAGCTCTATCTTTTTGTTTCCTCTTATAGTAATTTGCTTTTGGTTATGGTTATGTACATAACAAGAGAAGGTTTTCCCTGAAAAGGAATGGCATAAGTTTGTGATCTTCGCAATTATGTGGACTTGCATTCTTCTCTGGGATTTTTATTCATAGACTTCCTGAATTGATTCTCTTTAAGAAATATTTCTTTTGTTTGATTTGATTTTTCTTGTGGTTTCTGTGTACATGTCTTGATTTAGACTACATTTTGGTCATATTTTTTCTTGTATAAAGCTGCATTGTGTTGGATTCAATGTATAACTGATAAATGCATTTATTAATTTCAGATGATATTAATACCCTTCAAAATATACATAAATTTTTAATATTTGGAGGAAAATGATATTAATACCCTTCAAAATATATATATATATACATAATTAAATATTTGGAGGAAAATATAATATATTAAAGCTGTGACGTAGGGATCAAAAGGAACGACGCACGTGAGAGATGCAGTTGATGATCCACTTGTAAGTACGAAGAGGATGAGATCTGCATTAGAAGAAGAAGCGTTTGCTGCTGTGTACTCGAGCCCTACGCATCGGAATGGAAGTTTATGCTGCTAGTAGCAGGAAATCGTGCATCATCTCCGGTTCTTTTTAATTTATCGTTCCACTCGTAGTTTTGTAAGCACTTGTCAGAGGGAAATTTGATCTTTCGTTCTCAAAGCGCACTCCTTGTGATTTAGTTGGTTTAGGTTCAGTTGCTAGAATCAAATGGGATCTCGGGCATCTTGTTTCTACTGCTTCATTCAAAACGCAATCTTCGTCGTGTCTTCCGCTTCAAGATGTGTTCTTTCTTGTTTTCCCGATCGTCCAAACTTCTCTTGTTGTTTGCTTTTGCGATTACTTCTTTTTTATTTTGAAGTGTAAATTTGGGTTCATTTATAATTCTTCTTGGAATATCCGTAATCTCCTGGTATAGCAAAGATGGCAACCTTCTTCTTGTTCTTTTCGCCCTCATTAAGATTGTTGCTGTTGTTTGCTAAGCGTTTGTTGCAATGACTCGCCTAATAGATATCGACTTATGCGATGAACACGGAGATTATTGCTTCATTGATTTTCTAGCAATTTGAATTTCTTAAACAATAAGGGGACTTATCATATTGCTAAGAGGGTCATTTAGTATTCTGGCCGCCACCAGGATGGTGAAATATCATCTTTGATTATTTATACCAACCTTAGATTGGTTTTAGTGTTTGCTTCCTGTTTCTCAGTTGCGTCTGGCGAAGAATCATCACTTACAACTTCCCTCAGATGTCTTTTTAAGCTCTGGAAATGGCAGATGGCAAACTAGCAACTCGAACTGTCTCATATGTCATACTCGATTTGGATGGCACGCTTTTGAATACAGGTTCTTTCAACTTCTTTGTCTAATTGATCACACCAATCTTTTATGCATTTCCGACTAATGCATGTTTGTTATTTATTCCAAGTGTTATTGCATGTTTGTGTGTGTGTGTTATAATGTACCATTTATATAAGTGCACATATGTAGGACAGCTTTGTTCTAGTGCTGAAAATATTGAAAGCGGCACTTACGTAAATGTACTTGTGTTGTTTTGTTTGTATTTTTCATAGTATATGCTTTACAGTTTATGTCTGTATTTGTGTTTGGTGACAGATGGCATCGTAAATGAAGTACTGAAAGTATTTCTGTTACAATATGGCAAGAAATGGGACAGCAAGAAAGCTCACAGAATAGTAGGAATGACACCCTTGGAGGCTGTATCTTTAGTTGTCAAAGATTATGAGCTCCCTTGCACAATAGAAGAATTTATATCTGCAATTACTCCAATGTTTTTGGACCAGTAATCTTCATAACATGTTTTTCTTTTCGCTAATCCTTTTATTCAACTCTGCATTGTGTTTATCAGTAATCTTGACTTTAGGATGACATTCTGAATGGAATACATATGTTACCGTAGGGGGTTCTTAAGTCTTGTGAGTCTTGTTGTTTATATGAAATTTCCTATAAGCCTCTTCCATCATGCACATTAGTCTCTCCATCCTCTTTCTTTGGTCAACTAATTTAACCTAACTGGTGAGATAGCCTTTCTACCCCTAGGTCCAACTCAAATCGACTTGTAACTTAACAGAAGAGGTCATTTTGGATGAACAACTTCTTTGGTGAGGATATGAGCATAAACTAAAAATGACTGGTTTACATGCATAAAAGGATACTTTTTTTAGGGGAGAGTTATTCAATTATAGGTATTGTTAGTGGCCAAAAACTGTTGGTGGCTTACTACTTGAATATTTCATTGGACTTAAACTAAGGGACTGACAACAGTTTAGGTGACTCAGGGATATTCACATAAATAACAACTAAGGGACTTATGCACAAAACCAAAAACTTTGATGGGACTAATGTACGGAAAAAATATTCCTTAAAATATCATGATATTCTGTAGTTAGATGTGTAGGGAGATTTAGTTATTCAACATAGCTTTTTGCCTGGACAAAACTTGATATATCCATATAGATAGATGATCACAATTGTTTGAGTTTACTTTAAATATTTTGACATGATAATTATAGTTCACAAGAACGGTATCAGGAATGAGATCAACTAAGGATGATACAATCGGGATAGTTGGACTCGACACAGGCTTGCATATTTTTGACATTATAGATCCTGGATATTAGTGTACGTGATTTTACTGATGCAGTTTAAGAATCTAAACCCTCGGTGCAAGTTTTTCTCCTCATGCATCATCATTAATTTTCATTTATATGAATTTTCCTGGAAAAGGTATAAGTATGGCTAAATGTATGTATGCTTGTCATGTTCTTGGTAAGCACAAGGACTATTGTTCTATTATCAACCTGTTGCATTTGAAATAGATCATTTCATTTGGTTTGTGCAGATGGTGCAATATTAAAGCTCTGGTGGGTGCTACTCGCCTGATTAAACATATGAGGAATCATGAGGTTCCAATGGCCTTGGCATCCAATTCTCCAAAATCCAACATCAAGGAAAAGATTTCTTTCGACCAAGGTATACATCTTGTTGCAGTCTAGATGTATATTCCTCCACTTATTGTTACTTTTGTTATCCTTTCTGCATACTTTGGGTTGTTATTCTTATTTTTTAGCTTACCATCTTATTATTTATGTTACTTAGGATGGAAAGAATCATTTTCTGTTATTATTGGTGGTGATGAAGTAGCCATGGGAAAGCCTTCTCCAGAAATGTGAGACATTATGAAAGGATAGTATGGTTTATTATCTACCGATTGTTTAGTTCAAGGCAAATAATATTTTTGTTGTACTAACATTTTGCATTTTTCATGTAAAAGATTTGTTGAAGCTGCTATAAGGATGAATGCTGATCCATCTAACTGTCTAGTACTTGAAGATTCGTTGTAAGTTTTGCAATTTTTTTTAGTGAAATTGTTTGCTATCATTAATCTTCTTGAGTGTTCAACATTAATTTTTATTTGTTTGATGAATGTTGTGGAATAGGAAAAACTGAGATCTTGGATTGATATGATTAAATAAGGTAATGTACTTAATGATTTTTTTTCCTTTGGTAATATGTTCTCTATATAAATTGACCTGACCGAAAACTTTAATATCCAATTAGATTATCTGAAATGAATTAACTGTTTAAAAAATTCCACTCTAGATAATTAATTTGGAACCACACCAAATATAAAGAGATACTTAAAAACATTGTTAAACAGAATCCTGATGATTTTCAACACAATTTGCTTAAAATTCCAAGACTGGGAATTCTGAAAAGGACGTTGACAGAAGTCATGATGGAATCCCAAGAGAAATAGCAAAAGTTATGCAAAGTTGAGATGATCCAAGACTAGTTGACTTCTAACCTAAGACCTAGTTGACTTCTAATTGTGCTTGTAAATTCAAATGCTTACAAAATAATATGAAGATGAAACTTTTCTATTGGCATCACTATTGTGCCATTATAGTTTTAACTTTTAAGCATGGATTGAAGAACACCTTTGATTTTGATGTTTTGTAGATCATATAGTAAAAAGGAAAGCTTAGGTTTGACTTGAAGATACTGCTAAATTGATCTTTTCAGAACAGTATCAAGGGGGTCCTCATGAACTTATTATATATGAATCTTTCAGAGGACTGTTGAATACTTAGTGTATCTCCATGTTATTCAAACTTTAAATTGAAGAACATGTCCCGTGTTGCGATTTTGTAAGCCACAAAGAAAAAGGACTAATGGATTATTGATCTCTGAAGTAGAAAGTCAAGCAATCATGGTGTTTCTGTTTACAGAACTGTGGTCCATTGTCCATAGTTAGCCTGAACCAAATGGTATATATATATTTCCTGAGGAAGAATTCAATTACATGAATTTCAAAGCAATTATTTCCTTTGTGATACTTCTTTGCATTTAATTTCATGCTTTATCTGTTTCTCAATTTGGAAAAAGTTTTGAAGTTTATGTTTTCTCCAACTGAACTAAAATTTGTCCGAATGCTAAAAATTTCTCTTGTTACCAGGCCCGGTGTTATGGCTGGCAAAGCAGCAGGAATGGTAGTGATGGCTGTGCCATCTATTCCAAAACAAGGTGGCCTTTACAGTTCAGCTGATGAGGTGATCAATTCTCTGCTTGATCTGCATCCTGAAAAGTGGGGCTTACTTCCTTTTGATGATTGTATGCTCTTGAAATTCTAAAGTAGATAGTTACTCCTTTCGTAATATTTTCTCCATCAATAAAGCTGATAATCAGTAATGAGTTTTAGGGATCGAAGATACTTTACCAATTGAGCCATGCTACTTTGGGGGACCTGTTATCAGGGGATTTGGACTAGGCTTAAAGATTCTAGGAATACCGACAGGTCTGTTGGAACTTGAAACTTCTTTCACACAAGTTCTGTGGGTTCTTGTCCAGGTTTTTCAATCTGTCTTAATCTATATCATCCTTTATTGCTTAGGTAGTATATGAACCTTTTGTGTTATCATGTTGTACTTTTAGGTAATATATAATAACCTGATGTCTTCTGCAAAATTTAGTGTGCTATTTAACAAATGTTCTTTGTGCTTAGTGATATGACCTAAATCACTCAGTTTTGTACAAAAATTGTTGGAATGCTTACGACTTCTTTAACCTGACATTGCCTCGTAGGATTTTGCAGCTAAATCTTGTTACTTTTATCATCAAAGTCACAGTCATTGTGCTAAGTAAACACACGAAGCAATATCTTTGCTATATTGATACATAGAGGTTGCTCTGAGTGGTCTTTATTTAAGGCTCCACTTGCACAAAGAACTCTCGTGTAACTTTAAAAATTAACTGCATCTGTACCAGCCGTGCCATAGTTTCCTTCTATTGCTATTGCTCTTGCTGAAGTGATACCTTGGTGGATACTATATTGATACTATACCTTGGTGGATACCTTAAATAGTTTCTCTGTCATATCTTCCTTCTGTTGGAGCTGCACTTGTGAACGTATCTTATTTTGTATTCTTTAGTAACTCAGCACATAAATATCAGAATCCTCATCTTAGCAACACCGACTATTTGTTCGAGTCATTTCACATAATGGATTTCTTTTTTATTTTTCTCATGTTAAAAGTTTGGTCGTCCTTGGGAAAGATCAGCAAGATTAACAGATGAACTTATTAAATAGTCTTTCCCCAAAAGATACAATACAGAGTTTTCATTTCCCTTTGTGGATTCAAATGTCAGCATTGATATACGGTTTATTACTTTATTTTCTTGCAGCAAATTTATTGGCAGAGAACTTTTCTGCAATACTATCTGAGCACAATTCAGGTGTGTACTTTGGCTGGGCTGGATTGTCTACACGGGGTATCTACAAAATGGTCATGAGCATTGGTTGGAATCCTTACTTTGACAACACCGAAAAGACTATAGTAAGTATAACCTAATCAGTGATCCTACACCATCTGTTTATTCTTAAACAAGCGTTACTGCCAACAGGAACCTTGGTTGCTTCACGACTTCGATGAGAACTTTTACGGAGAGGAGCTACGCCTTGCTATGGTGGGCTATATTAGACCAGAGGTAGTAGAAAGGAAAGAAGAAGAGAAAAGTGAAACATTCATAGAAATTCTGATTTCTTTATCATTTCATATCTTTTTTGCTTGAAACACAGGCCAACTTTCCGTCACTCGAGAGCTTGATAGCGAGAATTCACGAGGACAGAAGAATCGTAGAGAAAGCCTTAGACCTTCCTATATATGTTGGTTATAAGGAATCACCATTCTTGAGAACTCCTTGCAACTGAGAACTGGCTATATTGGCACTCAGAAACAACTGGTGTTTACAAGAGGTTGGCTTACCAACTTTCTTGACCTAATTCATGAACTTTATGATTGATGTTTAAGCTAACTCTTGTTAGACATTATCTGGATTATGAATTTAGTTAACCATGGTCCATATTTGTCATTGCTTACATGTTATGAAACATTGTTAACAGGGGAATCGTCAGTGCTTATTTTAATAATTTGTTTTAAATTATATATTTTTTTTTATAAATGATATGTAGTGAAAGCAAGATTAAGACATATGAGATAAAATGTCTTTATCAACTAAATTAATTGGTTGATGAGGTTTTATGTCCTCAACTTTTGATAAGTTAGTCTGGTACAATATCACCACCACCACCGTCGGACCAATGTTTAATGTGTAAATTTATGGTGTTAAATCAATTAAAATATTTATTTTTATAAAATTATTTTATTAATAATAACAATAAATAACATTTATTAATGTAATTATTCAAGGTGTTAAGGTTGTATATTATGCAAATAATTTCTTAAATCAACGATAGGTTTGAAAAAAAAATAGATTTTGTTTTATCTTTCATTTATTATTTATTGTATGGAACAACATAGATTATACACCTATATGACCTTTTATTGAGTACATACCGATCATCATTTACCTATTCGGAAAAAAAAAATCAAATCATCTCAAAATCATATTGATCCGACAAATTATCGAAATCCTATGGAGTGAGAGGCATCAAATTACACGATCCTTCCACATTTAGGGTTCGCAAATCCTTCGACGCACTCCCCAACCCCTCTCAGTCATTTTCACAAACACTTTTATCCCCCCAACTTAGACACGACGAAGCCAGGTGTCGCGAGGAGGACGGGTCAAGGTCTTCTCCCCACGCCTAAAGCTTGTGAACTCACATAATCTATTGCATGCTTACCTGCAATGGCATCCCCCGATCCACATCCAACCCAATAAACAAAGATTGTGTGGGATCAAATCAAGACCGAAAGCAAGTGCAAAGTCACATACACGAAGCCGGTGGGCACACGCTATTGGTCATTTGGCTCCCATCAGGGGGAACAAGAACCACCCACTATTGGGAGAAGCCATACATCACAAGCACACGTCCCCCACCTTTCTCCCTCTCTCTCTCTCTCTATGTCTCTCTCTGTTGGTGGGGTGTCCTAATGCCAGTGCTCCAGCCATCAGGACAAGGAGTCCCTACTCGGTTTTAGGTGGCCAAAGATCTATGATCATATCTTTATAAGGAGTCCGTACTACTTGGTAGTGTATAAGGTGTAGAATTAAAGTGTCAGATTCTAGAGGATTTTAGCTCAAGTGTAGAATGATAATTTAGGCTAATGGTATGTCACTTTGGGCATTAGAAGTCTCGTGGCAACACATCATGGCTTGCATGGAGTGGGTAACATGGCAACTATTCGCTTTGTCCTCATAAAGACGAGGCAAGTGCAGCTCACGCGTTGTCCTCACAGATTTCCAAGTTTGTTGTATAGCATGAGAAGTTGAGATTTGATCGATTAATTAATTCTACATGATAATTGAAAAAAGGGTTAAATAATCGAATAAGTTCATGATCATATCGTGTTAAAACATCATAACGTGAAACACCTCTTTGCAATGGATTAACTTGGAGTTGATACCACACCACTCGTCTTCCACAAAAGCTGCGAGCTTTCGAGGAACTACGAGTGTCTTTAAGCCCACAAACTAAAAAGGAAAAGAGTCGATCAGAGGGTCAAAATTACATGCTCCGCGTGGACCTTTTACGCGCTGGATCGAGATATTTTGGACCAACTTTAGTTAGGCATGCGATGTGTTGACTCCATGGTCAACCCTACGCTGAGGCAAACCATGCGTGCACAGTGTTCTACCGGTTTCAAGGGATATCCCTGAGGAGACTACATGGCATACTATACTCTTTATGGGGAGATCATTCCACGGAGATTCTAATCCGAAATCTGCAATATATTTCGGGCAATTTGGTCCTCGGAGAGCCAGTAAATTATGTGCAACCTCAACCGTGTGGTCAAACGAGGAAGTGGGACAGTAGAGGATGGATGGATGGATGGATAATTAGTGATGTAAGGACGTGACAGTGATCGGTCATGGGAGTCCGGTATAAATACTTAGGCAAACGCGCATGCTCGGATGTGCCACTAAGGAGGAGACAGCGGCTTGTAGCTATGGAGAGATACTTTGAGGCCGTGGCAGTGGCGGACGGATGGAGAAAGGGCCCTTGGACTGCTCAAGAGGATAAGCTCCTCATCGAGCATGTCAACCTCCATGGCGAAGGGAGATGGAACTCGGTCTCCGAGCTATCAGGTATGCATGCTTGACGTGCTGTGCCGACTGCTTCGACCGACCCACTGCTTGTTTATGCTGGTTTTGGGTTGCAGGGCTGAGGAGGAGCGGGAAGAGTTGCAGACTCCGGTGGGTGAACTACCTGAGGCCTGACCTCAAGAAAGGGAAGATAACCCCTGAGGAAGAGAACGTCATCCTCGAGCTGCATGCCTTGTGGGGAAACAGGTAATAGACTCGTAGCGATCCGACCCTTGGTGTCTTCGTCGTTGCTGAAGCTTGCGGCGATCGACGTGCAGATGGTCCACCATCGCTCGAAGCCTCCCGGGGAGGACCGACAACGAGATCAAGAACTACTGGCGGACACACTTCAAGAAGAGCACGCCCTCGAAGAACATCGAGAAGGCGAGGGCCCGGTTTCTGAGGCGGCGGCAGCAGCAGCAGCAGCACCAAGCTGTGCCACCGCCGCCGCCGCCGCCGCAGCAGCAGCAGGATGACATGAGGACGATCATGAACCAAGTAGCGCAGATTACACTGGCGCAGGACATGCAGCAGGAGATGGCGTACATGTACCCCTTACCCTACGCGCTCCAGCAACAGGGCGGCGCTGCTCATGGCTGCGTCGTGGATGGACCAGCGGCGGCGGCGGCGGAGGACGACTCCTGGGGGAGCTTGTGGAACCTCGACGACGTGCAGCACGACGTAGAGCGCGTGTGCCGTGGCTGCCTTCAAGTGCAAGATCAAGCCCTCTCTTTCTACTGAGTAGTAGCATGTAGTGTTGTCGTCGTCGTCATGCAAAGTGAGTGGATTTCGGAGAAGCTTAGTCTGTCACGTCGGTGGAGAAGGATGAAGAAACCCACTTAAGCTTGCCTATGATCATTACATCTAAATCAATTGCCACTCCTTTCTCTCTTCTTTTGGCTTCGTGAGACAAATCTAAATAAATATCAATCTCCTGAATCATTAGAGCTTGAAATCTCATTCAATATATTTTTAAAAATATTAAGTAATTTAATTGATAAATTTTTTGATAATTTATCATAAAATTATAGACTCCAATCATATCTTAATCATTTTATCTTTTATCGTTTTCTCTATCTAATTCTCTTGTTTATAGTCTTGTCTTGGCAATCAATCTGACTTCATGACTCTGACATCTATCTTCACACAGAGACTATACTCTGTGCCACTAAAGACAAGTGTGATCAAGTTAAGTGTAAAGCACTTAACTTACATCTTTGATTCATGTGGTTGAGTGTAAAGCACACTCCCCTTTCCATTGGACAGTTTTGTGATCTACCATAATAAATAATTCATGATCTTATTATTAAACTAGCTACATTCTTTTTGTGATCTACCATAAGCATACTCTCTATTTCAAGGTGATTTGTTTTAGACCATTTTCTTACATCTAAAGCATTTATCACCTAAAACATTGGCACAGTGATAAATTATTTATATTTAAAAATATTGATGTAGTGATGATGTATTGATTCACCTACCAAAAGTTGAGGTTTACACATTAAATATTAGCTTAGTTGCAATATAGTACAACCTATTATAAAAAAATAAATATTTAAAAACTTTATTATATATATATATATAATATTGATAGTCCAGAATCAAATGCTGTCTTAATCAATTTTCTTTTACAAAAAATAGCAATTTTCTCACATAAATCTCACTTTAACCTTCAATATTATTTTAAAAATACAAATATTAGTATGATAATTATTTTTTAATCATTCAACTAAAGAATAGTGGCATCTAGTGACAATCTTATTCATCTTTAAGCTATGTTTTAGGCGAAAGAGGTGTAAAGTCAAGAGAGAGGAAAAGGGTTTTAAATATGTGATTTTTTTTTATTTTCTTATTAAAATATAAATTTAAATTTAAAAATAAAAAAAATTTATATATTTTTTAAAAATATTTATTACCTAATACATCTATCAAAAACTATATGATGCTCCTCGAAACATTGAAAAAGAGACCAATTAGTATTATTAATTTTCTATCTAAAATAGAGACCAATAAGATAGATATATCTAAAATAGTTTAATAAATTATATGGAGCAGTTTCCTCCTTATAAATTTAAATATGTCCCTCTAAATAATTAAAAATCCACCATATATTATCTAAAAAAAAGTCAAGTTAATCACGGCATAGTTGCGTGGTTATCAAATCCTAGACAGCGTTATCCTTACGTTGATGCCGAATCACGAGGTCTTATCCAAACCCGATTCGCCAAATCTAGCAGATAACAGCCGCAGCTGCCGCGTTCCAACGCGAACTCGCCACGCGTCCCACCAGCCTTCCTCAGTGGCCCGTCCATCACCCGGATCCAACGGCTACGATTCACTCCTATGTGGAAGGAAGCTTCGTGGCGTGGGCCCCATGAAGAGCCACCTTTAGGATCGAGGTAAACCGCGGGTAGATTAAGTCCGTATGTGCCCCACATGACCCGTCCATTCGGGGGGCTTCGTTTAGCTGTATCTGTCAAGCCGCACGACTCTAAAATCTTGCTTCTCATTGGCGAACTGTTGTGGGCCCACAATTTATGACCCCATGCAAGGTGCCCTATCGTGCACGGTAACAGCCGTGACAAAAGGATCGGTGCTCATCTGGTTCACGCGATCGGGTACGACACAATAATAGTAATCGTCAGGCTTTCCATACCGGAATTTGGTATTTGGTTCATTTAAAGATAAAGATAAACCATCGCTTCTCTCGACGCGGGCTCGGGGTTCTTGCTCGATTCCAAAAGACTTCCATTTCCGTTCCCGCGACAAGGGAGATCTAGAGAGAGGAGCAGGAGGAGAAACCCTAACCCTAACGATCTGCTCGCATCCATCTTCGATGGCGCACGAGGAGCTCCCTATTCCCATCTTCTCCTCTCTCGAACCCGTCTTCGGCGAGGGCTCGCCGCTCGATGAGGCGCAGCTCCGATTCCAGACGCTCAAGGCCAAGTTCGTCGAGTTCTTCGGCCACGAGCCCGACGTCTACGCTCGAGCGCCAGGTGACGTTGTTGTTTGACCCAGATTTTGGTACCTGCTGAAGCGTGGTACCGATTCAGAACCGTAGGGGCGTTTGTGTTGGTTGGTTTGCAGGTAGGGTGAATCTGATCGGGGAGCACATAGATTACGAGGGGTACTCGGTGCTCCCGATGGCTATACGGCAGGACACCATCGTGGCCATTCGGAAGCGCGATGTGGGAGAATCGGCCAAGTTGCTCCGGATTGGGAACGTGAACCCGAAGTATTCGATGTGCACGTACCCTGCTGATCCTGACCAGGTGTCCATTTTTTTCATTATATTTTTGTTGTTCTTTTCTTTTGGTAGTGGTTCTTATTGTGGAAAGAGAATAACGATATGTTTCTTCTTAATTTTGTTTCCGTTTCGTTTCTTCCCAGGAAATCGATTTGAAGAATCACAAATGGGGGCACTATTTTATCTGTGGGTGAGGAATTACTCCTTATATGATTGAGAAATTTTTCGTCATTTCTCTAGCTTGTATGCCTTTCTAGACTTTGATCTCACGGTCGTCTTCTCTAATTGTTTAATTTATCGATGAGTGGGACCTTGGGGTAACATTGTTAAGTGAATGAGATCTCTCGGTGTATATTATGACGATTGTTTTTATGCTGATGGAGAGGTATACTGTTTTTGTTTTGTGTGTGTTTGTGTATATTGGAAACATGATGCAGTCATTGCCAGTTTGAAGAAGGATCAGCTGCCACTCTTTCTAGAAGAAATAGGTATATGATTGAATAGTTAATAACAATAGTAGTACATGCTTGTTCCCTCTGGAAATTCTATGCGGGTGAGCAAGCTCAAGCTGACACTGTGCTGTATACTAAATGGTTTGTTTCATTGCTTGATGGTGAATTAACCTTTGTCCCTATAGAATTGTAGATCTGGCCATTGAAATTGTATGTAAATATGATTTTATATAAATATTTTAATTCCTACTTTTTAATATATTTTTAAAATTTTAAATATTTAAAGTGTGGATTGTTGTTCCTTTACCCATATTTTGAATTTGGACACTCTTATGTATTTGCATAACCCATATTAAATGCCATTATTAGTGTCACTTGATCCTCTATACTGAAGTTAAAGCACCATAGGCTTCCACCTACAATCTAATCATTAACTGCTATTTTGTAATATTCATACCTATTGATCCGCTGTCAACTACAAAGTGATGATTTTAGTTACTGTAAGTTCAAGACTTGGTTAATGTCTTTACGTAATATCTGTTTGCAGGTACAAAGGGATTTATGAGTTTGCTAAGTCAAAAAAAGCAGATGTTGGTTTGCCTGTTGGCCTTGACGTAGTTGTTGATGGGACTGTGCCCACAGGTATCAAATCTCATCAATTCTCTTCTGAGTTTCCTTATTTGTCTACAATGTTTGTCTGTAACCTGAGGTTGTTAATTATCATTTTTTGTTACTTCCATTTAGGTTCTGGTCTATCAAGCTCTGCAGCACTTGTATGTTCATCAACAATTGCTATAATGGCCGCTCTTGATAAGAATTTCCCGAAGGTACTGTATTAAGTTGTTTCTTATATAATTAGAACAATTGGTGACTGCTGCTTTTCAACAATTCTCAATTAGCTGAGATTCTATTTCATCTCTTTCTTGTGTATAATCCATGGAAACTACCTTAGTGACACACAGCATTACTATTACTGAAGCATGAATCCTATTTATTTTCTACTACTAGCACTAGTGAGATATTATTATACTTTTAATCATCAGATTGAAGTCTCTAATTGTTTACCATCTCTCATTTCTTGCAAATTCGTTTGACAGCAAATTTATTGGGAAAAGAAAGTTGATGATTCAGTTTGATGAATATCCTAGCAACCACTTTATCTTGAAACCTTTAGATGCCTAGCGTCTCAAATCCAAAAATTATGAGAATATGAAATCTTTACCATGATTTCATGACTTATGGCAAGCCTTGGCTTTATGATAAAATTGTTCCTTTTGCTATTTAATGTGAGTAATGGAAATGATCTTTCTGCTTGTGGGTTTAAGAGTTTGTTCATTGACTCTTCCCAGATCCCACACTGATGGATGCCTTATGCAATGGACCATTCCTTATCATGAATTCATGACTTGGGCCACATGGTTATTTATGACAATCTATTTTGTGGTTTAGTTGTGCATTCTCAAGTATGTAATATAGGTGTAAATAATCCATTTCTTTTTCCTTACTATCTCTTATGATTTGTACAGAGTGTCAATGTACTGTCAGTTATTGTTTGTTTTTCAAGAATGAACTCAAATGAAAAAGAATTAGCTGAAATGAAGAGGCATCCTTCAGCAGTTGCCTATGTAGGCTGGTTAAAGGAAAATGAGTTTTGATGTGTATTTGCTTCTTAATTAACAGAAATGCCAAGAAAGCATTATCCTGAAACTTGTATTTTAGGGAATATATAATGACCATTGAAGTGATTTAAGTAGAGGATTTAGTAAACTAATTGAGCCTTCAAAACTTGAATCAGTTTGCTTCATAGTGTTGTAATTGGTAGCGCATTTATTTTCTAAATAGTAAGATTGTATTGGAAGATTACCCATTTTCATCATCAGTTTGAGTAAAATTTACTTTATAGCGGAAGATTTAGCATGAGTAACTTCTGGCTTATTAGTTATTATTGCATTAATTTGTGGGTACAAGAATCATGGTTGGTACTGGTAGGACTCTTGAGTATGCTTAAGATTCTGATAAACTCGCTACTTCGTTCTTGTTAACTTTTGACATAATTTTGCAGAAAGAAATTGCTCAACTTACATGTGAATGTGAGCGTTATATTGGGACACAATCTGGAGGCATGGATCAGGTAATATATTCATTTTTGTCTCAATATTTGGTTTTTCCCATATACATGATAGTTTTGTCTGACGGAAAATATGTGTTATATAGCTAGATCATAAGTAATGCTTCCTAAAGCTCACAATGCTTCTTAAAGCTCACAAAGGTTGATACTCATTGAATTTTACAATCATACTTGTTCCCCATTGAAAAGGAACTCCATCAAAAGGGGTTGAGGGTCAAGTATTAAACCCTGATTTGAAATTGGTTATCCAACACTCATTACTTAAGGTTTCAATGGCGCAAAGCCACTGCACTTGATAGTTTTGCTATATTTGACTATGATATACCAATACAAAGAGCCTAGAAAGTTACACATCCAATAAGTATTATATGATTTATATCAATGATTTCATATTTAACACATATACAACAAGCAATTAGATGATCCTATTTCGTAGTCTATCTGTAAATTGTATACTAATCTACTCTGAAATAACAGTCTCATGTTATATTTCTCCACTGTATACCTACTAGGATAAGTATGCTAATTTTCTGTTAGCTTTATCTTTTATGATTTGGAAAGAGCGGGTCAATGTCATAAATTATTGGATACTGAACATACATGCGGTTGTAAAAATCTACCAAGCTGTGTACTTGTGATAGCAATTTGAATTGTTTCTATCTTGTGGTATACCCTGAAGTAGATCTAATGAATTTTATCCAGGTAGTACTTGTGATGACAATTTGAATGTTTTTCTATGTTATACCGAACCTTCAAGTAGGCCTAATGAGTCTAAATACTAGTTTTACACAAGAGTGGAAATTTTTTAGTTATCTCTGTTGGTTGTATTTATGTTTGTCGTTTTTGCATTTCACATTTGGAATCTGTTCCTTAACCTATTGTTCAGCTTCTTTATTAAATTTCACATGTGACAGGCAATCTCCATTATGGCAAAAACTGGATTTGCTGAGCTGATAGATTTTAATCCTATACGTGCAAGTGACGTGCAACTACCCTCTGGTGGAACCTTTGTAATCGCACATTCCCTTGCGGAATCTCAGAAAGCTGTGACAGCTGCAACAAACTATAATAATCGTGTCGTTGAATGCCGCTTGGCAGCTGTATGTTTTATTTGTTTGGCTTTTGTATCCTGTGATTTGCAACATCATATTCACATGTGCCATCACTTGCACCAAGTTTGTGGAATCTATTTATTTCTTAGACAATTAATCTACATGGTTTAGCATGACTTTCTGTGGACAAGATTTTGAGGTAGTTGGTCTGGTTGTAACCTTATGCCAATTAGTCACTCTAATAATTTTCAGCCTGTAGATTGAAAAAGAATTTCCTTGTAGATCAAGGAAATTTTAAACTCCACTCTGAAAAATAAAAAAAACGATGAAAATGAGATGCCTATATTTGCATTTGGCTTTTGTTCAGATCCTGTTTGAAATACATGATCCTACTTAAACTAAAAACTATTCAAAAAATAATAAAACCGACTACAGATAATGTGAATGGGCATGATAGTTATGTGTGGTGCTAATTTCAACCTCGAGGTTTGTGTCTTATTTTGCCACTAGAAAATCCATCGCTTATATTATCACAAGCACACTAGACTTTTCTACTTTAGTATTTTAAGTCACTTTGTACAGAAAATGCTCGTGTAAGTTAAGGTCAATGTAGCTAGGCAAGGCATTGATGACATACTTACTCTTACATATTTGACATGTCTTCATAGTGATGCAGGTGTGGTATTGGACAATTTGGTGTTTGTGAACTGTCCTATTGCTTTGAATTAAATCTTACATGCATGAGAAAGTGTACTTCTAGGTGACACAATGCACAACCATTCACATGAGTTCCTATTTTCCATCATTTTGGTGTGGCATTTTTATTCTTCATCTCTTAAACTGATTTCGTTATCTCAAAACCATTGTAGATTGTCCTTGCCATAAAGTTAGGGATGAGTTCAAATGATGCTGTCTCCAAAGTGAAAACACTGTCTGATGTTGAGGGGCTATGTGTATCATTTGCCAAAAACCATAGATCTTCAGATCCTGTTCTTGCCATTAAGGTTTGATTTTTCTGTTTGCTTATAAGATTTGACATTCCTACTGTTTCGTTTATGTTTAGACTTATGTTTTGACAACATTTCACAGGACTAAAATTGATGTTCTTGAACTTTTGTAACTGTTATTTTTGTAGCTTGTGCACATACTGCATGAGGGACTACATATGACAGTCGGGTGGTTTATAAAGCCTATGTAATTACTCAAGAACTAGAAGTTTGTCTGATGGCTTTACGATTGTATTTGATGCAGCATCCACAATAATTTGCTTTACAATTTTTTCTTCTACATTATCTATGAAGAATCCATCAATTTAAATATGTGAAGATCATCACTTAGTAGCCCACAATTTTCAAACTGTCTCATCAAATTCTAGCCTTTCCAATGGCCCAGGTGTGCCATTCATTAGGTCAAACGAGGGATTATGGAATAACTAATATTGTCCATACATCTGTTTGACTTAAGCTGCCTTTAGATTGCAAGGTCTTGTCTTTAGATAACAGAGCTTATTTAACAAAGTTTATGTTACCTTAATGTGTGAATTAGTGTTTAATTTTGGCATTTTTAATTGCACTTTGTCGGTATGACCTAAGAGATTGAACTTAAAGCCCTGCTGCAGACTCTTTGTGAAGTTCCTACCCCGTGCTATTATGGTAGATGACATACTAACAGTGGTATAATTTCAAACCCATATTAGGGCACTGTGTGCCCAGCACGGTGCCCAACTCTTTGAACTGCTACTCCGGCTGCTGTAGTGCAGTTATTTTATCATCATTGAACAGTAGTTTTGGTGAATGAAAAATTGCAAGTAACAGCTATCTGGTGTTACTCTAAAGTGCAGTTAGGCTGGTGCTCCATCAGATAATTAGTAAATAAAATGGAGGTGGAAAAGAAGATAAGATTTAGATGGTTATTATACATTAAAACAAAAAACATTAAGTTAATATCTTATCTGATTCCGTGTTGTCTCCATAAAAAAAAATGATCATGCTTTTCGATTCTCAAGTGCTATTGGTTTGACCTATATGTTTTCAGTTTATTAATGTATAATTTGTTTGTTCATGCTCTTTCCACTAAATAGGAACTCTTGATGGAGGAACCTTATACTGCTGAAGACATTGAGAAGATTACAGGCGAGAGTCTTACATCCATCTTTGCAAACTCACCATCTTCATTGGATGTCCTAACAGCAGCTAAACATTTCAAGCTGTTTCAGGTGGATTTGATTTATGCCTTTTAGTAACTTGTAATTTGGTGTTTTAGTTTATTCAAGTGTGATAATTGCATAAAGATAAATTTAATTAGTTTCTAATGCAATTCCAGCAAGGAAATGAAAATTGAATACAATTTCAAAGCTATGTTTGAACAGAATTTTTCATCACAATATCCATGTCAACACAGCAGAACACTGTTTCTTTACCTTTGCCTAGAGAAATATCAAAGAACTGAGGAGACTATGAAAAGCGAAGTGAAAATAAAGGAAGACATGAGGAAAAGATAAAAAAATTATTTTCATAAGCATATTATTTGAACCAATTTTTATTTTTGACACATTTTTGAAAAGTAATAATTGTATATTATATAGAAAATAATTAGAATAAATATACAATTTATACAAATAATTAAAATTTGATCTTCTTGATGTCATACATTAAATATGGATCCCAATAAGTTGTATCCCATTGCTCTAAAGTCTAAACTGGGGCAATATACTGTTAGGAGCCGGTATCCTTGTGACTTTGTTACTCTAATAAAGCCAATGCAACATACGTCCAAAGTAATAGAATTTATTACTATTTTAACTATATGTGCTAGTACTGATGGTAGATTAAAGATGTATATCTAATTAGTAACTTGACTACTGTTTTTTTCATCGTTGCTGTTTAATTGCAAAGAACTCTTCAACTTCATCGTTGAAGAATGTCACTCTAAGGTGTTAGGTTAGGTCTATGAAACAAGCATATGAAGTAAGATGAAATTTCTTGGTAGCTGGTTAATATAGGAATATACTGTGCATTAGACATGATTCCTCATAGCTTCAAATTTATTGGATATTCAATTCTCTATTGTTGAAACATTTAAGCATAAGCGAACGTGTATATTCTACTGGGCACTACTCTGCTTGCAAGGCGGTTCACATTTCTGCATGGCGAACTTTGATACTTCTGAGAGTAAAACTCATGCAACCTGGATAAAATACATGTCTCTTAGTGCACATACCAACTGGGAACGAAATGCAGTATAGGAAATCATTAGTATTACAACCTAATGCTTCTGATTGTGTGCTTCTGTCTGGTTTTTTTGGAAGTAATTCGTCCTCTGAAGATTATTTTGTGGGAATTCATTTCTATGTCTAGCCATTATTGCTGTGTTGGACAGTTTATTTTTTGCATTAAATATTTTTGCTCTTCAGTATCTTAATTTTACCTTCTTGTATTGTTCTAGCGTGCATCACATGTTTACTGTGAAGCAAAGCGTGTCTATGCTTTCAGGGACACAGTCTTATCTAAGCTCAGGTGAATTCAACTACTCAATTAGTACTTGTGTTCTTATTTCTGCAGTCTGTTATTCCATTTTGTCTACAGCTTTTGGTACAGTTTTAAAATCTATTTTTGGTTAAGTAGTGCTATGTTTTGTTTATTGATTTTTGTAATCTACTTACTATTCCTCATTAGGCCACTGGTAGATCCATAAGCTCACGAAATTTACCAGATTTGAGTTATATGCATGTGATGTGTTTTTTTTTTACATAGAAATTTTTTTTGCTACATTTGATTTGGATCATTATCTCATGATATGGCCACTTATCTTGCTGCTCTCTTATATATGCTTATAGTTTTGTGTTGTCTCCTTTGTACTAGTTTTTTCTTTACTCTCATTGTCTAGAAATCATGTAATTTTTTCAGTGTGTACCGGCTGTTGTGTTAACGTTTTTTACATGCTGACACGGTTATTGAACCAGTGAGCTTTAGTGTTTCAAGCATACAGTTAGACATAAATTTTGTTAAATCATTACGTTCCCCCTTACATCATTTCATAAATAGTATTATGATATTATCTTTAACCTATCAGAACTCAACCTCTCATTAGCCCATCAAATTTTGTATCTATTGATCGCTTGTAGAGCTAACATTACTCCTTGGACCACAGTCTATTTTTCTTCTTTCTTTTTTGAAGTGGGGAACCTCATCTCCTTTCATCTACTATTGTTCCTTTACCTGAAAACCTCTTTTTAGTATTTTCTCATTTTCTCCTCTGTTAGTGATGGACTTAAGCAGTTTTTACACAAAATGGCATGATAATGGAGGCAGTGACAATGAATATCTGATTGGTTTTTTGAATTAAGCTGGTTCACTTAGTCCATGTAAAAGTTGGTTCCGTTAGCTCTTTTTACTGGTTTGATGAGCAATCTAAAAACAGAATCAGAGTCTGGATTTTGGTTCTCGGTTTTTCCATTAGGACCTTCTGGCTTGGTTGGCTTCTAATGACTGTATTAAACACATGCATACTATATGTATTCAAAATCTTATTGTGATATGTATCTGAAAACAATCAGTGAGGACTCAGGTTATATATTCTGTATGAAAATAATAAGAAATGTCCCTGGTGGTTATGTGAGCTAGATGCCTTTAGATTAGTGTCCATTTTAAGAGATTTTGAAATTATTTTTAAAATACAATATCTTAAGCTGTTTTTGTACATTATTTGAAGGTGTTTAGTTTTTTATAGTTGTTCTATTAGATATGATTTATTCCCCATTTTAGTTACTTATCTTTCAATGTTGTTTTTTATAATTTCAATGTTGCTTATCTTTCTGCTGATAACACGCAATTTTCTGGTTTTCTATAGTTGTTTTTTATAATTTCAATGTTACTTATCTTTCTGCTGATAACATGCAATTTTCTGGTTTGCAGTGACGAAGACAAACTTAAGAGGCTTGGTGAGCTTATGAATGAGAGCCACCATAGCTGCAGTGTACTATATGAGTGCAGGTAAGGGATTCTTCTCCCTTTTACGTGCTTGCAGTGATTTACTACATCCATGTGTATTGAAATGAATTTTTTGATGCGGTTGAACTGTGATGCTCAAACTTAGAAGTTTGTTGTTGGATCAATTCTTTTGAAGATTGTTTGTTGTTAATTTATACCTTTATTGCTGTACCTGTTCATAGACTTACTGTTTCTCTATCAGCAAAAGAATTTTTTTCCTTGTGTTTTGTGAAAACTATCCTGTGAAAGTACTGTTTGTCTTGCTGTCATTAGTGCATGCCTTTCTGTTACTCTTTAGATTATTATTTATTAGTTTCACATTATTACATGAAAACATTCTTACATCATTCATTTTTTATTGGATAAAATTTCTCCCAATCAGTTGCCCGGAGTTGGAAGAGCTTGTAAATATTTGTCGAGACAATGGAGCACTTGGTGCAAGGCTTACAGGTGCTGGATGGGGTGGTTGTGCAGTTGCTTTAGTGAAAGAAAACATCGTCCCTCAATTCATTCTAAATTTGAAGGTCAGTAACATATGCACAAAAGTAAAATGCTGCATCTACTTAGTTATTATATGAAAATGGTGAACTTTTGCTCTAATTTTTCTAGACATTCTTCTAACTAAGGCATCATGCCTGTCATATCTTTAAGGCCCACATGTTCCTCATGAAGTAAATGCTCCTGCTGTCAATAGCAACATGGTTTTGTATGTGCATTGCTGTGAATAATGACTATGACTTGGTTAAAGGCATCATCCTTTGGACTTGTCATTCCAACGCTACATTATTTGCATGTTAGTCTTCCCAACAAGTATACGTTTGTTTACTCCTGATTACATCTCAACTTGCACTTGCTGGGGTTTAGTAGCAATCTTGTTGGAAACCTTTCTCTTTAGCTGATAGCTTATGCAACGCAAATGCTTGTTTAGCTCTCCCAAAGATGATCCGATTTGTATGTATGAGCATAGATTTTTTTTTATTATAAATTATTGGATAACTTTGGTGGGTGTTTTTGGCAGGAATCTTTCTATCAGTCAAGGATCAACAAAGGAATCATCAGCAAGAATGATCTGGGTCTATACGTGTTTGCATCGAGGCCATCTAGCGGTGCAGCAATTTTTAAGTTTTAGATTTTGTTGTATCCTTATTTGCCTAGTCATTTATGCTCCTGAAATAAGACACCTTATGCTCTCCAATCCATTTAATATAATAAGTCATGCTGTTGACCTGATAGGAATAGTGATTTAGGACTGTCGGTATATAAAGAGAACTATCTTAAATTGGAATGCTGGATGAATTACCTAAGATTTGCATGATATTTTAGTGTTGGTCTATGTGCTTCATTTACCTTTTCTGATGCTGATAAGAACATTTTTCTCTCATGCTTCAGTCGCCTGATCTTTATTGAGCTTCCGATTGGAGCCTGGAATTATCTTGGCTGCCAATTTTTCTTCGTTTTGATTCATCAAGTGGAACCAATAGGCCCACCATGCTGAATCTGTGACAACTCTGAAAACACACATAATATCATAATAAAACTGTGCACAAACTGCAAAAGACAACATCCTGATTCCAACATAACCCACCAGACCATCCAACAACTCAACAAGATCCTCAAATTGATTGAATGCGGAGGGAGCTGAAGTGATCCTTCTCAGGTAACTCCATCGCTCCCGAGACAGAAAACCTTGTGAACAAACATCATTGAAGGGATAGGCGCATTAAAGACGGATCGCCTCATTCAATGCACACTCTCCCTCTGCTCTCTCTCTCCCACCCACAGCAGACTGCAGGGAAGAAGAGAGACAATGCAACAGATAGATTCTGATGCCCGAAGCCGTCCGCTGCAAGTAAATACTGCTTCACTCCCCTCCCCTCCCCTCCACTTCTCTTTGTCCGGAGTAGCCGCAATAACTCCGACCAATAGATCCCGTGAGACATCTCAGCTCCAACACTGTGGCGCGCGCAGAGATCTCCTCTCCTCTCCTGTGTCCTTCCCCGTGAGACGAGGAGAGCCCTCCCTCGATCACGAGTTTTACCTCCTCCTTTGAAATGCCTCCCCTCTCCGCAGCTCCTTCAAATCCCCCTATATTACGCTGCTGGCTCGGCAGCATGAAGTGTGGCAGCAACACCAATCCCCGCCCATGGCCGTCATTGCCTCCTTCCTGTTCTTGTTCCTTTGGTGCTCGGTTCCCCTCGATGCCCACGGCTTCCATACCTACATTGTCCAACTCCACCCGCATTCCATCCCCGCTAGTGCTTCGGCTACCGGTCTGCAGAATAAGCTCCATTGGCACCTGTCCTTCCTGGATAGAGCAACGTTCTTGGAAGGAGGAGGGGATGCTTCTTCTCGGCTCCTGTACTCGTACCACTCTGCGCTCGAAGGCTTCGCGGCACGGCTTACTGAAGATGAGGTGGCCGCGCTGCGAGCATTGCCCGGCGTCATCGCGGTTCGTCCCGACAGTCGGCTTGAGCTGCACACGACGTACTCTTACACTTTCTTGGGGTTGAACTTCGCGCCCGGTGGTGCCTGGTCGCGGTCCAGATTCGGGCAGGGGACCATCATCGGAGTGCTCGATACCGGAGTGTGGCCGGAGAGCCCCAGCTTCCGCGACGACAGGATGCCGCCGGTGCCAACCCGGTGGAGAGGCGTCTGCCAGGAGGGGGAGCACTTCAATTCCTCGAACTGCAACCGGAAGTTGATCGGTGCCCGGTTCTACGCCAAAGGACACAGGATCAACTACCCGGAGAAGTCGTCGTCGGTGTCTTTACTGGAGTACGTGTCGCCGCGGGACGCGCATGGGCATGGCACCCACACGTCGTCCACGGCGGCCGGCGCTGCAGTGCCGGGAGCAAGCGTGCTTGGCCTCGGCGCAGGCGAGGCTCGGGGGATGGCCCCGGGCGCCCACATCGCCGCCTACAAGGTCTGCTGGTTCAACGGGTGCTACAGCTCCGACATCCTCGCGGGGATGGACGACGCCATCAGGGACGGCGTCGACGTCCTCTCCCTCTCCCTCGGCGGCTTCCCGATCCCACTCTTCGAGGACAGCATCGCCATCGGAAGTTTCCGGGCGACCGAGAGGGGCGTCGTCGTGGTCTGCGCGGCCGGTAACAACGGGCCGGTGCCGAGCTCCGTCGCCAACGAGGCTCCCTGGATCACGACGGTCGGCGCGAGCACGCTGGACCGGCGGTTCCCGGCCTTCGTCCGTCTGGGCAACGGCCGCATCCTCTACGGCGAGTCCATGTTCCCGGGAAACCACTTTTCGAAAAATGGCGGGAAGGAGCTTGAGCTCATCTACGAGGCCGGTGGACAGAAGGGCGCCGAGTTCTGCCTCAAGGGATCCCTTTCCAAGGCACGAATCAGCGGGAAGATGGTGGTCTGCGACCGAGGAGTCAATGGGAGGGCAGAGAAGGGCGAAGCCGTGAAAGAAGCCGGCGGTGCCGCCATGGTGCTGGCCAACTCCGAGATAAACCAGCAGGAGGACTCCGTCGACGTCCACGTCCTGCCGGCCACCTTGATAGGCTACGCGCAGTCCACGATTCTGAAGAGCTACATGAACTCCACCTTTCGTCCGGTGGCTAAACTCGTCTACGGAGGGACGAGGATCCGGCGATCGAGGGCGCCGGCGGTCGCTCTGTTCTCGTCGCGAGGGCCAAGCCTGACGAACCCGTCCGTCCTCAAGCCGGACTTGATCGCCCCGGGGGTGAACATCATCGCGGCCTGGCCGAGCAACGTCGGCCCATCCGGGCTTCAGGAAGACCGGCGGAAGTCCAACTTCACGGTGCTGTCAGGGACCTCCATGGCATGCCCTCACGCCAGCGGCATCGCCGCCCTGGTCCGGTCGGCCCACCCATCCTGGAGCCCGGCTGCGATCCGGTCGGCCATGATGACCACCGCCGACGTCGTGGACCACCTCGGGAAGCCCATAATGGACGGGAAAGAACCAGCGGGGGTCTTCTCCGTGGGCGCCGGCCACGTCAATCCGGCGAGAGCCGTCGACCCGGGGCTGGTGTACGACGTCCAGCCGGAGGACTACATCGCCCACATCTGTTCTCTCGGCTACAACCAGGCCGAGATCTTCACCATCACTCACAGGAACATCAGCTGCGGCAAGCTGCTGAAGGGACAGAAACAATTCAACCTCAACTATCCTTCCATATCGGTGAGCTTCACGCAGGGAAGAACATCGACGACGATCCAAAGGAAGCTTACCAACGTCGGTCTTCCTGATTCCATCTACACGGTGCAGGTGACTGCACCACCAGGAGTAACAGTGACAGTGACACCAAAGATCTTAGCATTTGGAGGAATCAACGAGATCAAGAGCTACACAGTCGTGTTCGAATCGAAGAAGGGAGTGCAGGAGGAGGGCAGTGTTGCAGGGGGGCAACTGATGTGGGTGCACAGTGGCCGAAAGAAGTACAAGGTGAGAAGCCCAATCTCTGTAACATGGGGAGCATGACGACAGGGTAGCTTCTAACTTTGTAAGCATTGTTTCAGATACAATCTGAAAGGACTGCAGCAAATAGGATAACACTTCTTTATTACTGTATAAAGAAGAGACATGTCCTTGTATCAAGATCTATAGATGATCAAGAGCAGGCAGCAGACACAGTAGATTTTTCATCCAAATTACACAGCTTCTTCTAAGATTTTAACTGAACAACTACGTGTGGATCTTTGTGATCAAAGCAGCTGAAAGGTTGGGTGACTCTTTAAGTTTAGGAATTGAGTGCCAATCCCAAATTCTAAATGCTTCCAGCTAAACTATGCACACATCTTCCATGCACAAAGGAAGGCCATGCTTGAGTCTATACAAGAAAGAAGTGATAGATTTCCTGTATGTTTGAGTCTATACAAGAAAAACTGTATCAAGCAAAGAGAAGAAGTCAAAGCAGATAAATGTCAAGTGCTCATAGACAACAGATGTGCTGAACAAGGAGAATCAAGTTATGATCAGTATATAGTATACTGTTACCATATCAATTTTCCATGCTGAATAAAGATGATGATGATGATGTCAAGTGCTTAATTCAGATTCCATTCTTCTGAGACCTTCAGAATCAAGTTATGTGCAACAAGCTGGAAAGAAAGAAGTGTTAGAAACAGGGGTTATGAATCAAGGGAAAAATTAAACTGGATGATCACATTCTACAAGATTTTTGATAGCATTGGCATCAGTTTCCTTCCCAAACCAAGGCATGATTTTTGATTGATATCTACATTTAGCTTAAGATAGTGATATCTATGACAGTCATATGGCTGGATGGGACAAACAAGAGCAGCACATCCCAAGCTGTGCTAATGGAAAACATGAGCAGGACTTGAAGCTCAAGAAACCTTTGAACTCTATTGGTAGCATGATGAATTCAATTTTTGTTTTGTCTTAATAATGTCCCATTGGATGCCCAATCTAAACTGTAATGTCACATTTGATAGATGGATTTAAAATTTAGAACATGTAACAAGAAATTGATACTCTGCTACAGTTACTTATTTTTGTAGATTTGCTCCTCTTAATTGGATTAATGCATGATGATGATCCCAAGCTTGGCATAGTATATAACTTATGCACAGAATGGGCTATGCTTCTATTAACTATGTGTTATACAGTCTATTAATATTAATATTATTTGACACTTGGTAGGTTAGATGATTAGAAGAAAACATTGCCAACCTCATTTACAGATTAGAGCAATTAGAATTAGAAGTCAACTCTTATTATGTTTTCTACTGATCAGTGCCTTTGCACAATTATTAGCAGGTGTTTTTCACACAAAATATTATCTGCAAAGGCAATGACTCTCTCAAAGTCCTTTCCATTGACTTTTGTCCTCAAGTGCTAAGATGAGGAAAAACAAACATTTGTGAGCTTTTTTTTTTTTTTTTTGTGTTGCATTACACACCTAATATATATTCACTACAATTCAACATATTTCTTTCTTTAATGCGCGCTAAGTCTTCATAAATCTTATAGAAGCATGCTCATACACTCATCATTTCATATAGTAAATTATTGGCCGGATGTTTTATTAGAGTATTCTTAACATAAAAATTATTTATTATATTTTTTAAAAATTAGAAAGAATTTTTTATTATATTAAACAACATATGAGATGATTTGCATATATCCATTAATTGTGCAACAATGCACTATCCACTAGAATATCTATGATATTTTTTGTAATAATATGTTTTGTTTTATGGTGAAATGGTGAGAGAATGCATCTAATTCTTAACAGAAAAATAAAGATGATGACATGATATATGTATATGTGATCAAGTTCCTATTTTTAAGGAGGATATATAATAGATATCAATCATATCATTTCTACTCTCTTTCTCTCTCTCTCTCTATATATATATATTTAAGCTCAAAGATATGATTGTCATACCGACACAATTGGAATCATTAAGCCTCATAATTATCAACAAAACTTATGTATTAAAAGATTATTATTTCCAAATCTCATGATCAATCACATCAAGGGTTTATCTATGGCATTTGGAGTGCAAAAGGTGGCCTACTACTCCTCTTAATTACATGTGAAAGCTAATTGGTTCTATAATCTTTAGTTTAGATGCCATGATAAAGGGGCCATGTGGATGTTTGCAAGTCTCTCAACCCTAACTAGCTGAGAAATAATCTAATCACAAAGCTAATGACACATGACCTAAGAGGATCCCATGGCTCTACTGTTCAAGTCTCTTTTTCCACCCCTTAATCCTTCCATGCTCTTAAACTAATCAAAAAAAGTAAATGCAATCAACCACCATCACCAATGGAGTCTCTTTCACTTCTTCAACAAGATAACCTCTCTCTTTACCCAAGGAAGTGTTTGATATTGACCCAACCCTACCTTGACCTCTAAGATAGCACTTCAAGATTCTTCAATATTTTACATCAAGTCTTACTTCCACATGTGCTAGTGGAAGAAGGAAAAAAGATTGTTTCCAACCACTACCAAGTCTTTCTTTCATGCCCAAAATATTTGCATGCTTGATGTTGATTAGAGCAGTTGGAATTGTTTGACATGAGGCTAAAAAATGGGAGAAAATTCATCATAGAGATCAAAATATTTTCCTCTCCCAAAAAATGAAAATGGGGCATTGGTGGCAATTATAGTTAGTATCAAAAGATGCGATAAGCTCGATTACATGGAATAATAAAATGGGGACCAGCCTCCAAAACCTAGATTTAAGATAATCACATAATTAAAGTTTGCTAAGTTGTCAAATGGTATCATCTTTCCTAGAAATTTCCTAACCAGCAATTAAAGTCATTTTAGGACCACCACATCCTACTAGCTTAGGCAACTTGATAGGGGTGTCTTTTCTTTTTATTTCTTTTTTTATTGTCTTTTCTTCGTGTTAGAATTATAAAAATAAGATTACGTACATTTATCCTCCTCGTTGTATTTCGGGTTGCTTATTTTTTTCTCAAGTAAAAAAAAAAAAGGAACTGTTGTTAGCTTATGAAACATTGGAAGCAATTGATGAATTAGTATGGCTTTAATATAATAAACTCCTATTGATCGAGCGATAATTAGAAAATATATTTGTTCATCCGAGATAGACCAAAATAAGTCAAGCTCGAATCATGCATCCAAAAGTAACACAATCAAATCCAGCATCACCAATTCAGCAAAGCTTTTCATAAATGAACTAAATCTGAAGGATAATTTCAGGTCAACATACTGTGCCAAATAGTGTGAATAATACAGCAGCATTCAGTACAAGTAAATGTTGTGTTGAATTTTCCCCCCCTAAGAAGAAAAAAAAAGAAGATGTTTCAGCAGTATTATCATTTACATAGCAGAAGAGTTTGAAGATCCAAACTCCATGTTTTTTCTTGGGATTCTTCACCACCACTTGGTCCTTTGCTTAAGATATCTTATTAGAGTCATACCCACAAGTTGGAGATAATCTAATGGGAGTAATGAGGTGTAAGCCTCACTGAACTTGTCTTTGTCCACTTGTTTCTTCACTTCTTCTTCTTCTTATAATAAGAGGTGGAGACATGCATCACCTCTGACAGACATAGAGGAAACAAACCATCTCTGCTTTCTCCTTCCTCGAGCGGCACAGACATTTCCAGTTCTCCCAACTTCGATGGCACAGCTAGTTTCTCAACATGATCAGATTCCACCATCGGATAGCATGAGGAAGAGAAAATCCAGCTGCTATAAGCAGCAGCATGAAGGGAGATGGAAGCTAGGGAAGAAAAGATGACGAGACTCCCATGGCAGTAGGCAAGTCTGATGCTTGGCTTTTGTGCTTATCAGCTCCCCTTCTCCCCCTCCCTGTGTCCTTTGCTGTTCTTCTTCTTCGTGCAACTCCACCACTCGAGAGCTGTAGTTGTGATGTCTTCATCTTCATGTGCTTTCCTTGGAAAGAACAACTCGATGAAACTTATTTCGGACTGAAGATTCTATGCATGACTTCTTGTATTGGAATGAAGAACACACAGCAAACACTAGTGATGTGATGAATCAGATTCTTCTCTCTTTGATTGTGTATGTAAACAGACACCCGAGGAAGGAAATGGTGGCTTGTGCTTCACACCACAAGCATCAGCCCCTAATATATCTCAATCTCTTGATGCTTGCATAGTGGAAACTGATCACTACTCACACGATTATATTGCATGATATGATGCAGAAGTTTGAATGGAAGGTTTGAAAGCATGTCAAGCTGGTTTGGATTGTGATGAGACCATCTAAATTACTTCCATTGTCTTAGTAAAAATTTAATTGTTTTCGAATAATAAATAAATAATTTATTATTTCACTACCAATTTATGTATATATGCATATGTATTTCACTATTATTGCTTCATCAAAAATTATGCTTGTGATGGAAAATAATTTATCTATATATGTATATATATATATATTTAAAGTTAATGCCTGTAATTATACTTTTGTCACATGTGACCTTTAGGAATAATTTTAGAACCAAATATAATTTAATTCTTTGGCAATGATGACTTATTTAGGCATGTGATAGTTAATTAATTAATTAATTAATTATCTTTCAGAAATAATTGTGACACAAATCAAGTTTATTAAATTTTAATAGAATTACATGTTTAATCAAATTTATAATAAGTAATTAGCCAACTTATGTCGAAAGATCCTGAATTTAGATTATTTTTATTTTGTTAAGATTAAGTGATGAGGAAGAAATTTGACCTTAAGATATTTAGTTAATTCGATAATTTATTTAATAAAAAATAATTATAAAAAAAATTAAAATGATAGCTAAAAATAGATTATAATTATATTAGTTAAATTATCGAGATATCTGAATTGATTAGTGCACTGTTATATAAATTATAAACCTCAAGCTTAAGCTGACGTGTCAGCGCCGCGAGTCATTTAATGTATTACAATTTTATTTATTTATTTTTAAAAATATATATAATATGTATTATTAATATTAATGATTAATAATATGCATTAAATAGATTTAGGCATTAATGTGTTTTTTTGGGCATTATTACGGATACTTTTCCACTCATCTTACGTGTCTGCCTCATCATTCGGTATATCAATGGGTCCCGTGGGACAGACCCGAACCATCACCAGCCCGAAGGCAGGTATAATTGTTGGTGACAAACAATTTGGTAGCGGAAAGTACCATTAAGCAAACGTAGTT